TGAGACCGCACCCACTGCACACACACATGCAGTGCACGCACACACACTGCACACAGTGTGATGACGAGCCCGTAGCCCATAGAGAAATGCAAGCCCTAGCACCAGGAAACCACAGCTGACATGGGGCCTGGCGGAGCTCCCCAGTGTGGGAGCCACCTTCCCAGGAGGTGTCCACGCACACGTGCCAGGGAGCGTGGGTGCGGGTGTGTGACTGTGGGTTCCCTGACACGGGGTCGGCAGCCTCATGCACCAGCTTCCCTAGGTGGGGACTGGGGCTGGGAGGAGTGGCGGGCCAACCTGCGAACTCAGCTTCCCCACCTGGGTCTTGGGCACAGCTGTCCCCTGGCTCAGGGTGGAAGTGGCAAGGGGTGCAGGGAGTGGGGCTGCCCTGTGCTGCCTTGCCCAGCCTGTCCCCCCTCCTGTTTCAAGGTAGCCCACGTTCTTGAGAAAGTGACGGAGTGAAGTATGGTAGATTAACAGCAAATTGGGGCCGGCCTGCAGCGAGTCAACGGGCCTGCCAGGCCCTTGCGCCACCCCTGCTGGCCTTCTGTGCAGGAGCCGACAGGGGACCTGCTTTGGGTACTGGGACAAGGCCTGCGTCCGCCACCAGGGGCCGCCTGCTGCCCCCTGTTGACCTCTGAGTGGAAGGTGCTTGCTCCGGCTCTGGTCAGCCCTGTGTGGCCCCTGTGGTCACCTCTGCCCGCACGTTCTCTGCACATTTCCCAGCCGTGCCCATCACCACCAGCTTCCACCCGTGGTCCCGTCCTGTCTCCGCTCTCTCCATCGGCTCCTCACCCCAGCTGCCCAATCCCTGCTGGCTCTCTGCTGTGGGGCCCTGTGAGCATGTGTGACGGCCTGGGGGTGAAGCGAGGGCCCCCTGGCTTCCGCAGAGGGCCCTCCGTGAGCATATCCAGGAGAGACCCCCTAGGGGCCAGGCAGAGCCAGGCTGCTTGGAGGCTGGGCTGGACCCCGCAGTGACAGTGGCTGAGGGCAGGAAGCAGCCACAGTGGTGCTGCCAAGGGCCGGATTGGAGCTGCTGGGACTCTGAGGCCCAGGGAGCCTGGCAGCCCCACTGCTGAGTGCCTGTGGAGGAGCTGCACCAAGTCCCCGGCCTGCCGCGGCTGCGTCGTCGGCACGGTGCCCGGGACAGCGCCTGGGGCTGGGGGCCTGGAGAAGTGGCCTCTGTGGTGGCCGGCGTGTGTCGGGGGAGGGGCTGTCCAGGACACACCTGCCCCTGAGAATAGTGTGTGATGGAGCCTGGTCTGCTTGGAAGGTGTCCCCTCCGCCCCGCCTAGGGGTCCGCATTTGCTGTGTACACACCACATCCCGTAGAGGGACCACAGGTGCACACCCACACTCACCCCTCACACACATACTGCGTGAATATGTGTACCTGGTGAGGATATATGTCCTGGGAGCCTTCTCCCCTTGACCTTGACTCTGGCCTGCCTCACCTCCCCAGCATCCACCTGTTAGCACACGGTGCGGCTCAGGGCATCTCTCCCTCCTGTGCCGTGTGTCCCGCCTGGACCTCTGCCTCCTCAATGGCAGGCCTGCGTGTGGGAGCAGCTCCTGTGTGGTGTGGCTGTCCCCACTCCGACCGCGACCTTGAATGGCAGGGGCTGTGGGGTCCCTGGGTGGGCTGACCGCCAGGTGCAGTGGGGCCTGGAGGCTTAGGCCCTAGACGGGGGCTCTGAGTCTGGAAGAGGGAGGTGTGCTGTGTGCTCTCTGGACGCTGGGAGGGATGGGGTGTGTGTGAGCAGGACTGGAGCAGAGCCTGGCACTGCTGAGGCCGGGGGCACCTTGCTAGGGGGTTCCAGTCTGGCCGGTGGCAGCAGAGGAAGAACTCACTGCTCTGCCCACCAAGGTAGACCAGGAAAAGCTCCATGAGGGGTACCAGCAGGGGCCTGGTTGGCACAGGCCAGGCAGGGGCACTTGTTGGTCCAGCCATGCCCAGCCCTGCGGGCCGTCTGATGGGATGCCCCGGGCGCCCACCCTGCCCCTCCCCCAGCGCAGCCTTCCCCTGGGGACACAGAGGCAGGCACTGTTCGGAGGCCTCCGGGACAACAGAGTCCCTTTGTGGCTGCTGTCTGGGGATGCCATTGGCGGCCGGGGGTGGGTGGGGAGGGGACGTAGGGGCCCCGGGTCGAGGCTGCCCGTGTGGACTGGGCTGGGGGTGGGGAGGAGGCTGTGGCCATGGGACAGGGAGCCTGGGCGTGGTCAGGAGGCCCTCTGAGGCCTCCTTGCCTGGTAAAGATGGGCAGGGCCAGTGGCCAGGTGTGTGTGTGTCTCGGAGCCTGCCTTCCATTCCGGGGACCCCACCCTTTGGCCCCTCTTCTGTGGCCAGACGGGTGCAGACTTAGACTCCAGGAAGCACCTCCTGGCTGCAAGGGCAGTTTGACCCCGGAGAAGGTATGTGACAGGGGAGCCAGGGACCTGCTCAGGCTGTGTCACTAATTGGCTGCTGCCCTTGGGCCCGCGGGGGAGTAGCAGGTCATGGGAGCCACAATTACCCAGGGCAGGATACAGGAAACCAATTACCAGGGAAGCAGCCTGGGGTTTGGGGTTCGAGGATGGCAGTCTCCGGCTGAAAATGCCCTGAGCCCACGGCCTAGCGCCCAGCATGGCAGATTGCTGGTCTGGCATGGGCGGGCTCAGGGCTGAGCCAGGCCTGCATGGGCAGGGGACAGCGAATGGCGGGCGAGCATGCCAGGGTCCCCAGATGATGCAGGGGACATCCCACTGTGGGCTGAACCATGCACTGAGCTGGGATGTCCAATTGGTCCAGCAGTGCAGGCCTGGGATGGGGTGTGGCTGCCAGAGGAACCCCAGGACCAAGGGCTGAGGGTCACTGTGTTGCTACCAGAACCAGCTAACCCAGCATGGAGCCAGCCTCTGACCCCAGCCCGCCCTGTGTCAGGGTGGACCACTGAGACCAGTACACGCAGCCAGGTGGGGCGAGCCCTCCCCTCCCAGTGCAGCTCCTGGCCAGTCAGCACAGCACTGTGCCCTCTCCCCTCCTGCCCTGTGACCTGTGGGATGTGTGCAGTGACACGCGTGTGCCCTGGCATGTTCATGTGCATTTACCCATGCCCACAGGCACACGCGTGTGTGTGCACAGGCATGTTCCAGACAGCCGTGTGGGCACTTGTACATGTTGGACTGAACACGTGTGTGCACACACAGGGATGTGCTGCCGCCGGCCCCTCCTGTGGGCACTAGGCTCTGCTGTACTGTGCCCAGTTTGACCTACGTGCCTGGCTGTGGCTTTTCCTAGAGCCCCAGGGTGCCCACCTAGAAAATGGGTGTGTAGCAGGGTTCCCTGGAAACCTCCCCAGCCTTGCTGTGTGTTGGACCCTGTGTGGGCCACTGGGCTGGTCCTCCCCCGACAAGGCTGGGCAGGGGGATGCCAGCCTCGGAAGAGGTGGCATGGGAGACCAAGGGGCTGCCAGGAGTCGTGGGAGCCTGGGGCTGAGTGTGGCCAGCACCCAGCTGGGGTCAGCCTTGCTGGGCCTCCCCTGGGACTCGGGACAGTGTCCTCTCAGTGAAGGGACTAAGGGAGACTGACGTCTGTACTGAGTGCTCCCCCCTGGAGCACTCTGCTGCCCAGGCAAGGCTGGCGGAGTTTCGTGGGTTCCCATCGGCTGTGGCTCCACAGGTAGCACCCACAGTAAGCAGGAATGGAACTTCTAGGGGTGTGGGCAAGGCCACAGCGCCCCACATTACTGACCAGGACACAGAGAAGGTCTGTCCTCTCTAAAAAGGCAGCGTCACCTCCCCCCAAGGTCACAGAGGGCCTGGTGTAGGGGCGAGAGGCCTCCAGCTACCCATCCCGCTGCAGTCACACCACGGCAGCGGAGGGGCTGCCTGAGGCCACACCTTCCAGGTGTCTGTGGGCACTGCCTACCAGTGCCCCTGTGCCAGCACCTGGGAGGGGATGCTGGCTCATGAATGCTGCGGGCTGGGCTGCAGGAGGCCATGAATCCTCGGTGTGGGCATGGCTGGCACAGTGTGCCTTGAGGTGCCAGGTGCTGGAGCAGGTGCCGTCTGGGATGTGCGGAGGGCCCGACGGCTTGGGCACAGTGGGCAGCTGGGTCCTGGAGGCAGAAAGACCTGGCCAGGCCCAGCCAAAGGTCCAGGAGGTGCCGGGCCTGGCACCCAGGGCCACCCTGGGCCGTGGGAGTAAACCTCTCCTGGGCTGGGAAGGACTCCCACCGTATAGTTTGGGGTCAGTCCAGGGTCCACTTGCCCCCGCCCCCATGACCTCGGGGCGGCCTGTCACCCTCTCAGTCTTGCTCTCCTCACGTGGCATGCGGGTGAGGGGTGCAGGGGGCATGGGACTGGGGTGGGAGGGAGCTGGTTGCAGTGAGCCAATGGAGCAGGCAGGAGTGGGCACTCAGCCCCAGGCACCAGATCGAGGCCCTGGCTGCTCTGCTTGCGGGGAGGGGAGTCTGTACCCCCCTCCGACTGGCCTGCAAGCATGGCACCTTCTCCCTGGCATGGCTGTCTTCTCAAGAGGTGAGGGAGGAAGGGGTGGAAGGCAGCAGGAGGCAGGGCGGGCAGCCTGAGCAGGCCAGGTCCACGGTCAGCGGGGTGTGGGGCAGCTGAGGGCACCAGGCAGCACACCGGGCTGCTGAGCAGATGGGCTGGCTGAGAGACCCAGTTGGCAGCACCCATACCTCCTTGGCTGAGAATGCGTGAGCGGCTTGGTGCTGCGTGACCCTGCCCCAGAAGGCGGCTGCACTGGTGGGTGGCGAATGGGCAGGTGGGCCGAGCAGGTGCCTGGCAGGGAGCCGGGCTCCGTGTCGTGCCTGCCTCCCTGGCCCCTGTTCCCGCGGCCAGTCCCCCCAGGGGCTCAGGCCACCCATCTGTCCTTTGGCTTTGCAGTTGGGCCAGCACCAGGACCCTGGACGCTAACGCCCCCGTCCGTGGTCTCCTGACGCCTCTCCGGCCTTGCCTGGCTCTCTGCCCGCGACCCTGGACCCTGGCATGTCAAGGCCTGGCCCACGCCTGCCTGCCCAGCCCGCAGATCCCCGGCGGCCCCGTGAGCTAGGATGAGGGGCCAGGCCGCAGCCCCGGGCCTTCACTGGCTCCCCCGCCTGCTGCTGTCCCTGACGCTGCTGTTGCCGTTGGGGCGCCAGGCGGGCTCGGCCGCTGTGTCCGAGGCAGGGCTGGAGCCGTGCGCCACACTGGTGCAAGGCAAGTTCTTCGGCTACTTTTCGGCGGCTGCTGTGTTCCCGGCCAATGCGTCCCGCTGCTCCTGGACCCTGCGCAACCCTGACCCGCGGCGTTATACCCTCTACATGAAGGTGGCCAAGGCGCCTGCGCCCTGCAGCGGCCCGGGCCGCGTCCGCACCTACCAGTTTGACTCCTTCCTGGAGTCCACCCGCACCTACCTGGGCGTGGAGAGCTTCGACGAGGTGCTGCGGCTCTGTGACGCTGCAGCCCCCCTCGCCTTCCTGCAGGCCGGCAAGCAGTTTCTGCAGATGCAATGGCAACAGCCACCCCTGGATGCTGAGCCTGGGCCCCTGGACGGACCCCCGGGGCCCAGTGACGACTTCTCCGTGGAGTACCTGGTTGTAGGCAATCGGAACCCCAGCCGTGCCGCCTGTCAGATGCTGTGCCGCTGGCTTGACGCCTGCCTGGCCGGCAGCCGCAGTTCACACCCCTGCGGCATCATGCAGACCCCGTGTGCCTGCCTGGGCGGCGAAGCTGGCAGCGTGGCCTCAGGCCCCCCGGGGCCCCACGGGGACGTCTGTCTGCGGGATGGTGCCAGCGGAGGCCCCGAGAACTGCCTCACCAGCCTGACCCAGGAGCGGGCAGGGCACGGAGCCGCGGGTGAGTGAACCCAAGGGGCAGGGCGGGGGGCAGCGCGGGGGGCTTGCTTCCCGAGGCATGGCCACAGCCCCTCCCGAGGAGCCTGCCGAGGAGCGTGGGGGGTTGAGGGCTTGTGGCCGTTCCCGATAGAGGCACACATGAATGAACCAGAGGATGAGTGGACAGTGTTCTTGGGTACGTGGCGTGTGCTGTGGGGTGACTGTGACCCAGTGAGTGAGCATGGCTCCAGCTCCCCAGTCCCAGCTGGGCTGGCATCCGTGTCCAGAGGCTGCTGGGCAGAGGGGCCCTCCTGAGCAGGGAGCCCTGCTAGGGAGGCACCCCCGAGGCAGGTGGAACTTTGGTGGTCCCCGTCCACCTACAGCCTGTGTGGGGAATGGCAGGCCCCACTAGGAGGTGGTGACCCAGAAGGTCCAACTCAGTCTTCCACCTGGACCAGGCGGAGGGCAGGTGGAGGGGGCGACCTTCCATGTCCTTGGCCAAGACAATGGGCATGGGAGTGGGGAGGGGCACAGAGGCCAGCTGGCGGCTGTTTACTGCTCAGGCCTGGGGTGCCTGAGGCTCTGGCCTGGCTGCAGCCCACCAGGCCCTGGGGCTGGGATGGCGTTCAAGGGGCTTGTAGGACACGGGGCAGGAGAGCCGTGTGGGAGTGCTGGCATCGGTGATGCTGGGAGGTGGCGCCTGGAGGAGCAAGGGGTGTGCTCACGTGTGCTGCATTTGTGTCTGTGCCTGGGTGTGGGGTCTGAGACAGGGCTGTGCCAGCATGGGGCAGCCTGCTGGGGGGTCAGGGGAGCCAGTCACCCTGAGACAGCTCTGCCCCGGGGCCCCAGCGTGGCCAGGCCTGAGGGAGCAGAGAGGACCTGTGCGTGGCTTAGTCCACTGGGTCGGAGTCCCCTGCGTCCTTCCTGCCAGCCCCTCTATCCCGGAGCGGGACCCCAGACTCAGACCCCTTCTCGGCAAGGCCTTCCCAGGTGCCAGCCCAGCTCTCCAGCCCCGCTGCTGGCCGGTCCTCTCACACCTCCCACATACACCCCCTTGCACACCCCCTTGTACGCCTGGCTTCGGCATTGAGTGCATGGTCTATTGTCTGCTGTGCCCACAGGGCAAGGGGCAGCAGCCTACGGGCAGCAGGTGCTTAGGCAATGCCTGTTCTCAGAGCGGCTGCCGAGGTCCCGGGCCGGAGCAGGGGTGGTGGGCAGGCACGGGCCACTGCTGCTCCTCCTCCTGAGGAGCAGCGAGCTGCCAGGCCGTGAGCCCAGGCTCTCACTGCTGGGCCCACTGTGTGCAGGTGACCAGGCCAGCAGTGCCCTGCCCAGCCCGGCCCGGTGGAGGACTTCCTGGCGCGGCAGCCGGTCGTCTGCCCCCGTGGCCGTCCCAGCAGCCCCCGCAGCAGGCAGAGCCCCGGCTGTGTGTCTCCAGGCTTTCTGCGTCCAGCAGCCCCTCTGCTCAGTCTCTGTGCTTCTCTCCAGGGCGGCTTTAAATATTCATCTCTAATTACAGAGCTTAGCACCCGAGCCAAGCTGGAGCCCGTGTGGGGCCCACAGAGCAGCCAGGGGGCAGGAGCCAGTGCGTGCTGTGTGTCCTTGTGTGTCCTTGTGTGCATGTCTGTGTTCCTGTGTCTGTCTTGTGTGTTTGTCCTTGTGTGTGTCCTTTGTATGTCCCCTTGTGTCCCTGTGTGTCCCTGTATATGTCCATATGTGTCCCTGTGTGTGTCTGTGTCCCCGTGTGTCCCCATGTGTGTCCCTGTGTGTCCCAGTGTGTCCCCGTGTGTGTCCCTGTGTGTGTCCCTGTGTGTTCCTGTGTGTCCCTGTGTGTCCCCATGTGTGTCCCTGTGTGTGTCTGTGTGTCCCTGTGTGTCCCTGTGTGTCCCCATGTGTGTCCCTGTGTGTGTCTGTGTGTCCCTGTGTGTCCCTGTGTGTCCCCATGTGTGTCCCTGTGTGTCCCTGTGTGTGTTCTGTGTGTCCCTGTGTGTCCCTGTGTGTCCCTGTGTGTCCCTGTGTGTCCCTGTGTGTGTCTGTGTCCCCGTGTGTCCCCATGTGTGTCCCTGTGTGTCCCAGTGTGTCCCCGTGTGTGTCCCTATGCATGTTCCTGTGTGTTCCTGTGTGTGTCTGTGTGTCCCTGTGTGTCCCTGTGTGTCCCTGTGTGTGCCTGTGTGTCCCTGTGTGTCCCTGTGTGTCCCCATGTGTGTCCCTGTGTGTCCCTGTGTGTCCCCGTGTGTGTCCCTGTGTGTGTTCCTATGTGTTCCTGTGTGTCCCTGTGTGTCCCCATGTGTGTCCCTGTGTGTCCCTGTGTGTCCCCATGTGTGTCCCTGTGTGTCCCTGTGTGTGCCTGTGTGTCCCTGTGTGTCCCCGTGTGTGTCCCTGTGTGTCCCTGTGTGTCCCCGTGTGTGTCCCTGTGTGTCCCCGTGTGTGTCCCTGTGTCCCTGTGTGTGTCCCTGTGTGTCCCCGTGTGTGTCCCCGTGTGTGTCCCTGTGTGTCCTTGTGTGTCCCTGTGTGTGCCTGTGTGTCCCTGTGTGTCCCCGTGTGTGTCCCTGTGTGTCCCTGTGTGTCCCCGTGTGTGTCCCTGTGTGTCCCCGTGTGTGTCCCTGTGTCCCTGTGTGTGTCCCTGTGTGTCCCCGTGTGTGTCCCCGTGTGTGTCCCTGTGTGTCCTTGTGTGTCCCTGTGTGTTCTGTGTGTCCCTGTGTGTCCCTGTGTGTGTCCCCATGTGTGTTCCTGTGTGCCCCCGTGTGTCCCCCTGTGTCCCCATGTGTGTCCCTATGTGTCCCCATGTGTCCCTGTGTGTCCCTGTGCATCCCTGTGTGTGTCCGTGTGTGTCCCTGTGTGTTCTGTGTGTGTTCTGTGTGTCCCCTCGTGTGTCCCTGTGTGTCCCTGTGTGTCCCCATATGTGTCCCTGTGTGTCCCTGTGTGTTCTGTGTGTGTTCTGTGTCCCTATGCATGTTCCTGTGTGTCCCTGTGTGTGTCCCCGTGTGTGTCCTGTGGAATCCCTGCCTGTAAGCACCTGTCTCTGTGCCCCCTGTGTGTCCTGTGAGCCTGCATATAGACTGAGCCTGTGGTCTGTGTACACTCCGACCTCATCCGGCCCTGGGGGACTTCCAGGGTCAGGCTTCTCCTGGGAGGGGGCCTCAGGAGGTGTCTCTGGAGTAGGGGGGTGGTACGGAAGGGGCTCTGGGCAGGGCGCCGGGCCTGCCAGGCTGGACCCCGGGCCATGATGAAGGTGCAGATGAGGGCCCTCAGTGCCCATGGCAGGCAGTGCAGTCGAGTGGAGACAGCAGGGTCATGGCCATACTGCAACCTGCATGTGCACCTGCTTGGCCCCTGCCTGCCCCGCTCGGCCTGCTACCTGGCTGGCTGGGGCGTGGGCCGGTCAAGGCCTGCATCTGGGCGCTGCTTCCTAGAAAGATACCGACAACGTGAAAGATGTCATGTGCAGTGACCCCACCCCCTTCCCCAGGCCTGCAGCTGCCTGCCACCCCTGCCTCGCTGGGCCCAGAGGAGAAGCTGGCATGGGCAGAAGCCCTGCTGGCCCAGCCTCGAGTCTGTGGGCCCGGGGGGTGGGGGGCAGCACGTGAGGTTTGGAGGCTGTATGAGCGCCTGCAGGATGAGGGCTCCTGGGGCGAAGGGGACTCTGCCTGGGATGTCTGTAGGATGCTGAGCTCAGCAAGGGCATGGCAGTGACACGGGGCCTTGTCTTCCTGTCTGCACTCCCGGGGCAGCCGTGGAGGAGGGGTCTGGTGTGTGTGGCCATGGCCTGCTGGCAGGAGGCAGGGGACAGCCGGGAATCCGGTCAGCCCTGCAAAGCTGAGCGGTGTACCCCCCACCAGGCCGCCCAACCTGCGGGACCCTGGCTCCCTCTGCTGGAAGCGACTGGGACTGCATGGCGGCACCCCGCGGGGGGGGGTGGGGAATGAAGGAAGCTGGGGGCCCTGGTGCTGTGGGCAGAGGGGCTCCCCCAGACCTCTGCCAAGCCCAGCCACCCTGGGGTGCAGGGTCTGGGGTCCCATGACATGTAGGCTGGTGCTCCTGGGCAGGAAGGCGGCTGGGGTACCCTGGGCAGTAGGCTGTCCTGGGTGGCCTTAACTAGCTCTATTCATCTTGCTAATGAGATGGAGATGAGGCTGCAGACAGAGGGGCATTGAGCCGGGATGAATGGCAGCTTCTTTCCAGGCCGGTCCTGCCCACCCCTGTGTTGCCCCCTGTGCCGCCGGAGGCACCTTTGTGCCCTGCACTGCCCGCCAGGACTCCTTCCTGGACCACTGGCCCCCTGGCACGGGGGCTTCCTCAGCAGACCCCCATCTGTGTGGACCCCCGTCATAGCTACCGTTTTCTGGGTGGCCATTGTGGTCAGGGCCATGGCCCAGCCTGTGACACGGATCAGGGATCAGTATGTGGTTGGGATCAGGGTCAGTGTGTGACCACAGTCAGGACGAGGCTTGGGGGAGGCGTATCCTCAGCCAGGGGCCCCTCCCAGCCTCTCCTGAAGTGCCCCCACCTCCCCCACCCCTTGCCACACCCTCCCACCTGGGTCACCAAGGTAACCAGCCCCGAACAGTGGGCGTCCTAACCTGGGCCTCTCCTGCCGGCTTTGCGCTGCATGGTTGCCATGGGGACCGAGTGGCATCCTCCGTGGAGCCTGGCTTGGACAGGCTCCCTCTCCCACCCACTACCAGATACCACGTCACTCAGGCAGGACCCCTGCTCCCTCTGCTCTTGTCTCAAAGTCACCAGGCAGCGTGGCTTTGCCAGGAGAGCCAGGGCCAGGTCGGTCCTGGCAGTCACCTCTGTGGGGGTGGGTTGCTGACCTGATTTGGCGCTTGGCTTCCTGGCTCTGCACCTGCTGGCCGCCTGCGGGGGGGTCCCCATGTTCCCTGCGGGTGCAGGTAGGGCAGGGCTGCTGATGAAGTCCCCCCTGTTGGAGCCCTCACCCAAAGCCCCTTCCTGCCCCAACCCTGGACAGGAGGAGAACCAGCCACCCCCTCAGGGTGCAGGGCTGGGGTGTTTCCTGGCCCTGGCCCACTCAGGTTCTGTGCTGAGGGGACACAGGCCTTAGGTCAGCCTCAGTCCTCACATCTGAAAATGGGGAGGGAGCTTGTCCTGGGGGAAGCCAGGACTGAGGAGGGGCCCAGCCCTCCTGCTCACAGGAACCGCCGAGGCTGCCCCTCTGGACACCGGGGGTGACACAGCTGCCAGGAGCCCCCGTCAGGGAGAAGGATGCCTGCCTGCCTCTTGCCCCCTCGCCCCTGGGTCCTTGCACAGGCAGGAAGGTGGTCAGCCCCCGTCGTCCGTCCACTCCCTTAGCCACTGTCCCCTGGCTTTGGGGCTGTAAGGGTGCGGCAGCCCTAGCCGTTCCTCTGCCCCAAACGCACTGGGCAGGGGGCCCTCGCCGCTCCATCAGCCCCCCTTTTCCTGCCAGGTGGGCGCCAGCCGGGGTGGGGTCCTCTCCCAAGCTGCTCCGGTGCGTGTGGGTCCCGGTGGAGGCAGCAGCCGGCCTGGACACGGCCTCCGCGCCAGCGACCCCCGCCCAGGCGCCCGGGTCCCGACCCCTGCCCTCGGTTCTCCTCGCGCAGGTGGCTGGAAGCTGTGGTCCCTGTGGGGCGAGTGCACGCGGGACTGTGGGGGAGGCCTGCAGACGCGGACGCGCACCTGCCTACCCGCGCCCGGCGTCGACGGTGGCGGCTGCGAGGGGGTGCTGGAGGAAGGCCGCCTGTGCAACCGCAAGGCCTGCGGGCGTGAGTGCGGGGGCGGGGCCTGGGCGGCCGGGGCGGGGCCAGTGGAGAGGGCCGGGCCTGGGCGAGGGAGGAGCCAGGGAAGGGGCGGGGCCTGGGTGGCCGGGGAGGGGCCAGTGGAGAGGGCCGGGCCTGGGCGAGGGAGGAGCCAGGGAAGGGGCGGGGCCGGGGCGGGGCCAGTGGAGAGGGCCGGGTCTGGGTGAGGGAGGAGCCAGGGAAGGGGCGGGGCCTGAGTGAGTGGGGTGGGGCCTTGGCGGAGCGGGGCTTGGGCAGACAAGGGAGGAGCCAAGAGGGGTGGGACCTTGGCAGGGCGGGGCTTGGACGGACAGGGGAGGAGCCAGGAGGGAAGAGGTGGTGCCAGAAGGGCCGGGGCGGGGCGGAGCAGGTGTCAGCAGAGCCCCGGGCTGCACCCTGGAGCCAGGCGGGCCCCCCCCCGGCCTTGCGCTCCGCACCCTGAGTTGGTTTGGGTGCATGTGGAGGGCTGCTCGAGGGGTGCGCACAGGGAGCCCCCGGCCCGCCTGCCCGCCTGCCCGTCCCAGCCTGCTGCGCCCGCAGGATGGATTTCTCTAATAAGCCTAGCTAACACCCTAATGAAAATTTTAGTGGCTTTCATAAAGCTAAATCAGGTTATAATGAGACTGTCATTCTGTGGGCTCCCCCTCCTTTTCTTGGTGGACTTTCCTGGGGAGGGGGTGCCAGGGTCTGGGATGTGCCTGTGGGAGAAGTGCGGGGACTGCCGGAGTCTCCGCTGACCCAAGCGTGTCCTGCAGCCGCTGGACGCAGCAGCTCCCGGAGCCAGTCCCTGCGGTCCACCGACGCCCGACGGCGGGAGGAGCTGGGGGACGAGCTGCAGCACTTCGGGTTCCCGTCTTCCCAGACCGGTGAGCATGGCTGGCTTCTGGGAGCGGGGTGGCGGGGCAGCAGTGGGCAGTCGGGCCGGCCCTCGAGGGCTCGCGAGCCTTCAGCGCAGGGCAGCCCGTCCTGGCCGCGGTGCGTGGGGCCCGACTCGCTGGCGCTGGACCCCCAGGTGACCCGGCGGCCGAGGAGTGGTCTCCGTGGAGTGTGTGCTCCAGCACGTGCGGCGAGGGCTGGCAGACGCGCACGCGTTTCTGCGTGTCGTCCTCTTACAGCACGCAGTGCAGTGGACCCCTGCGGGAGCAGCGGCTGTGCAACAACTCGGCCGTGTGTCCAGGTGGGCAGGGCACCGGCGGGGGTGGGGCCCGGCTGGGCGGGCCGGGGTCGCACCAGCAGCCGCGCCTTCCTGTCCCCTCGCAGTGCACGGCGCCTGGGACGAGTGGTCGCCCTGGAGCCTTTGCTCCAGCACGTGCGGCCGCGGCTTCCGGGACCGCACGCGCACCTGCAGGCCCCCCCAGTTTGGAGGCAACCCCTGCGAGGGTCCCGAGAAGCAAACCAAGTTCTGCAACATTGCCCTGTGCCCTGGTAGGTGAGAGGGAAGGGGCACAGCTGCAGACGGGGCGGGGATCCAGCCAGGGGCCCAGCTGTGGGGCCCCAGAGCTGCAGGGCCACCTCTGCTCACAGCGGCAGGCCTGGGCGGCCGCAGGACCCCAGGTGTTCACGCTGGCTTCCGGTCCTCTTCTTCCCCTGGGCCGGGCAGTGGACGGAAACTGGAACGAGTGGTCCAGCTGGAGCACCTGCTCCGCCAGCTGCTCCCAGGGCCGGCAGCAGCGCACGCGCGAATGCAACGGGCCCTCGTATGGCGGCGCCGAGTGCCAGGGCCACTGGGTGGAGACGCGAGACTGCTTCCTGCGGCAGTGCCCAGGTCAGGAGTGCCCGCCGGGGGCAGGGTGTGTGGCCTTGCGAGGCCCTGGCTGTGCCGTGGCTGTGGGCTGCATTCCAGTCGCCTGCTTCTTGACCTTAATCCTTCCTGTCCTGTGTGCCATACCCCTGCAGTGGACGGCAAATGGCAGGCCTGGGCCACGTGGGGCGGCTGCAGTGCCACCTGCGGGGGCGGCAGCCAGCGGCGGGAGCGGCTGTGCTCCGGACCCTTCTTTGGAGGAGCAGCCTGCCAGGGTCCGCAGGATGAATTCCGGCAGTGCAGCACCCAGCGGTGTCCAGGTGAGATCTGCCTCTGCCAGCCAAGCTGTGGCCCTTGGTGCCCCGGAGGAGGTGGCATGGCTGCTCTCTCTTCTGAGCCCCTGTCCCCTTTGTCGACCCTGGTACCTCGGCAGAGCCCCATGAGATATGTGATGAGGACAGCTTCGGCGCCGTGGTCTGGAAGGAGACGCCGGCGGGGGAGGCGGCTGCGGTCCGGTGTCCCCGAAATGCCACTGGTGAGGACAGCCTGGCGGGCACATAGGGGGGTCCTGTTCTGTCCGCTGTGCCCCCAGCACAATTCTGAGGTCAATGCCGCATCCTGCAGGTGGGGTGTCCTCACTGCTGCCCGCAGAGCCCAGGCAGGACACAGACCCCGGGAGGTCACTGCACCTTCCCTGCCCACAGCTGGGAGGTCCACTCAGCGCCAGCCTCGGGCACACTGGACAGGACACTGAGACCCTGGGAGGTCTCTGTACCTGAGCTGCCCAGGGGCGGGAGGTCCAGTCAGCGCCAGCCTTGGGCACACTGGCTTGGAGGCGCCTGGCAGGGCTCTAGGCCCCCATTTGCTGTGTGAGGTACAGGAAGTGACTTTGTCTCTGAGGGCCTCAGTCAGCTTGTCTGAAGCATGGGGACGGGGACCCTTCCCTTGCCGTGCACAGTGACAGCCCCCAAGCAGATCATACCCCAGGGACACCACAGCTGGCCAGGACTTCACTGTTCTCCAGCGAGCAACAGGGCACGGGCAGCTCTGGGTGGCGGTGTTGTTCCCATGGTCCCCTGGGGACAGTGTAAGGAGACGCTGGTGTCACTCCAGGGATTGATGGAGGAGAGGCCTGGGGTGGGGGCTCCCCCGCCCAATGTGCGGAAGCTCCCTGACGCTGCAGCATCTGACACAAGTGTGGTGTGGCAGTGCGTTGGGTGGTAGGCTCTGCTCTGGCCTGAGGCAGTGGGCAGTGCACAGCAGGGGCCCTGTGCTGGACAGGGAGCGTCTACCTCAGGGCTGGGGTCCCTGCAGGCCTCATCCTGCGGCGCTGTGAGCTGGATGAGGAGGGCATCGCCTACTGGGAGCCTCCCACCTATATCCGCTGCGTCTCCATCGACTACCGCAACATCCAGATGATGGTGAGGCCCGGCCAGGGGCCCACGCCCTGTGCCCCGCGCCCCTTGCCCTCGGGCCGTGAGCTCGGGGCTGGATGTGGCACCCAGCCTGCTCTGCCCTCCCCAGACCCGGGAGCACCTGGCCAAGGCCCAGCGGGGGCTGCCTGGGGAGGGTGTCTCAGAAGTGATCCAGACGCTGGTGGAGATCTCCCAGGATGGCACCAGCTACAGCGGGGACCTGCTCTCGACCATCGACGTGCTGCGGAACATGACGGAGATCTTCCGGAGGGCCTATTACAGCCCCACGCCAGGAGACGTGCAGGTACACCGTGGGCGCCAGGACCCCCGATGTGGGAGTGGCCGGGCCCTGATGCTGGCCGTGTGCTGCTCCCTCACCCACCCTGTCCTGCCCATGCTCTGACCCTGCTCACGCCCCGACCCTGCTCACACTCTGACCCTGCTCACACCCTGACCTTACTCACACCCCAACCCTGCTCACACTCTGGCCCTGCTCACACCCCGACCCTGCTCACACCCGGACTCTGCTCACACTCTGGCCCTGCTCACACCCTGGCCCTGCTCACACCCGGACTCTGTTCACACCCTGGCCCTGCTCACACCCTGACCCTGCCCATACTCTGACCCTACTCACACCCCAACCCTGCTCACACTCTGGCCCTGCTCACACCCCGACCCTGCTCACACCCGGACTCTGCTCACACTCTGGCCCTGCTCACACCCTGGCCCTGCTCACACCCTGACCCTACTCACACCCCGACTCTGTTCACACCCTGGCCCTGCTCACACCCCGACCCTGCTCACACTCTGGCCCTGCTCACACCCCAACCCTGCTCACACTGACCCTCACCCTATTCTGCTGCCTTGTACTCTCACAAACCCTTTTTTCTCTTCCTCCCAGAACTTTGTGCAGATCATCAGCAACCTGCTGGCAGAGGAGAACAGAGACAAGTGGGAGGAGGCCCAGCTGGTATGCATGTGGGTCCTGAGCCCTGGTGCCAGGCACATCATGAGGGTACCCACCTAAGTGTGGGCTAGCTGGGGTGGGTGCCGCTCATCACAGCACTGCCCTAGCCAGTCTCCGTGCCCATCACAGCGTCCCCTGCGGGTCCACATACCAGCCTCAGTGTCTGTCCAGGCTGCAGGGTGAGGATGCTTGCCTCCGCCTGGGCTGATCGCTCCTCTAGGAGGCCAGGAGCAGCCACTGCTGTGAGCCTCAGAACTTCCTGTCCAGCAAATGGGGATGGCCAAACGGTCTGGCAGGACCCCAAGAAAGGGGTATTGGGGTTGGGGTGTCCGCTGCAGGGGGTACAGGGGCCTCGTGCTCTGGCTGCCCCTCCCCCACTGCTCCCCAGATGGGCCCCAACGCCAGGGAGCTGTTCCGGCTGGTGGAGGACTTTGTGGATGTCATTGGCTTCCGCATGAAGGACCTGCGGGACGCGTACCAGGTGACTGACAACCTAGGTAAGCGCCGTCTGCTCTCTGTGCTCAGTCCTACCCTGGCCAGGCCCTTCGGCTCTTCTCGAGAAGTCTTGAGTGGTCAGCCACCAAGGTCTCTCTCTGCTGACTGGCAGCCCCGGGGCCCGGAGCCCTTGCCTCGGAGCCTGGTGCGGGAGCAGCCCTGGCCTGGCCACCCTTGGCCCTCTCTGAGCTTGGCTCTAGGGGCAACTTCTGCCCCTCTCTAGCTTCCTCAGAGGGCCAGGGCTCCCTCAGCCCCAGTGTCAGCCAGACCTCAGGGCCCCATTTCTGGAGCAGATGAGACAAGTCCAGAGGGGGAGAGGCGATGCGGGGGCGGTCTGACATCAGTGCAGCTTCCCAAGGGCCTGCCTGGCTCAGGACCCCCCAGCAGGGGTGCTGCTCCCTCCGGGAGAAAGGCAGGAGCCCCAGGGAAGGGACCACGCAAGGAGAACTCTAGCTACAGCAGTGGCCATGTGGAACCTAGCTCCAGCCCCTGAGTGCTGGCCTAGCTTAGTGCCTTTGGGGCTCAGGATGGAGAGCTCGGCCAGTTGGGGGCATCAGAAAGGCCAGCGGGGCCACTGACAAGGGGTCCGTGTGGCTCCACCTGGTGTCGCCATTCAGAGGCTGGGCACCACCTTCCCTGCCTGCCTGTGCACCCACCCAGGTGCACCCCCGACCCCCCGAGCTCTCACATCCCCTCCAGGTCCCCCAGTCTTCGCTGCACTGGACCCCTGTGCCATCCGGGCCCCTCACTCATCACCAGGCCCAGCCCCTTGTCCTCTCCCTTCTCCCAGGAGCCCGTCGCCCCTCCCCCAGGCTCGCTCCCTCCCCTGTGCTCGCCCCCTCACCGGCCCCTGACAGTCCTGGGCCTGGCAGTGGGTGGGCACCCTGGCTCTTCAGGGTTCTTCCAGTCCCTCGCTCCGCAGCTTGGTGTCCAGAGGCTCCTTCCCCTGCTCACACATGCCCCTCTCCCAGCCCGACTCCAGAACACCCCCTGCCCCCGACCCACCCTGGCCTCCCCAGCCCCTCGCTACTGCAATCTTGTGACCAAGTCCCCTGCCCCAGCCTCTGCACACACAGCTCTTCCAAGGGTCCTGCCGCTCCAGCTGACCTGCCCCACAGGGCCTCGTGGCACCCTGGCCACCCCAGGGACCCAGCCCAGCCCCACCTCGCTCTCCCACATCAGCAGCCAGCCCGGGGAACCCCACCCTGCCCAGGTCGCTCCCTCCTATTTCACACCCTCCTTCTCTGTCAGGCCCTCCCACTCGGTCACCCCAGAGCAGAGGCCCCCTTGTCAGACACGGCCTGGCGCTGGGCGGTGTCGGGAGGTTGCTGAGCACTCCTGCTGCCCCCTCCCTCCCTTCCTCGCCCCTCCCTGGGGCCTTCCTCTGCTGTCAGGCTGCCAGGGGCATGCACACCCCCTCTGACCTCACCCCTCCCTTAGCCTCCCACACTGTGCCAAGACCTGCTGTCTTTCAGAGTCTAGCTCCCACCTCTGCCCCCGACTCGTTGGGGCTCCTGCATGAGACAAGCCCCACAGGCAGAGGCCCGCTTTGCTCCGCTGCCCCATCTGGCAGCCACTGGGGCTCGGCATGTGGCAGAGAGGGGGTGCCCTCATTTGGGCTTGGTGCCCGATCCTAGGCAGTCAGGTCCCAGGGCAGCCCTGTCCCCAGCAGCTCACTCAAGGAGGTGGCCTGATGCCCCAGGCAAGCCCTGAGAACCCCAGGGTGCAGGGGGGATGGTGGGCCTTGCATGGGGGTGCTGGGAGTGCAGGGGGGATGGTGGGCCTTGCATGGGAGTGCAGAGGGGATGGTGGGCCTTGCATGAGGGTGCTGGGAGTGCAGGGGGGATGGTGGGCCTTGCATGGGAGTGCAGAGGGGATGGTGGGCCTTGCATGAGGGTGCTGGGAGTGCAGGGGGGATGGTGGGCCTTGCATGGGAGTGCAGGGGGGATAGTAGGCCTTGCATGGGGGTGCTGGGAGTGCAGGGGAGATGGTGGGCCTTGCATGGAGGTGCTGGGAGCGAGCACAGGGGGGATGGTGGGCCTTGCATGGGAGTGCTGGGAGTGCAGGATGTGATGGTGGGCCTTGCATGGGGGTGCTGGAAGTGCAGGGGGGATGGTGGGCCTTGCATGGGGGTGCTGGGAATGCAGGGTGTGATGGTGGGTCTTTCATGGGGGTGCTCGGAGCTCAGGGGGGATGGTGGGCCTTTCATGGGGGTGCTGGGAGCGCAGGGGGGATGGTGGGCCTTGCATGGGGGTGCTGGGAGCTCAAGGGGGATGGTGGGCCTTGCATGGGGGTGCTGGGAGCTCAGGGGGGGTGGTGGGCCTTGCATGGGGGTGCTGGGAGCTCAGGGGGGATGGTGGGCCTTGCATGGGGGTGCTGGGAGTGCAGGCCTCCTCCACTCCATCTGTGTGGTGCTGAGCACATGGTGTCCCGCGGTGGGGTGCTGGCTCCAGCCCTCTGCCCAGCAGGAGGCTCACCAGAGAGAGTGCCCTTCATGCGGTGTGGGTTTAGCAGGGCTCAAAGTCACGCCCCCTTGAAGAAGTGGGAACAGTACACCCCAAGTTTCTCCCTGGAATACGTCAAAGCTGAGGAGGGCGCCAACCCCCCAGGTCCTGTGTGCAGGTGTGGGGTGCTGAACCCCCCCAGGTCCTGTGTTCAGGTGTGGGGTGCTGAACCCCCCCAGGTCCTGTGTGCAGGTGGTGGGGTGCTGAACCCCCCCAGGTCCTGTGTGCAGGTGGTGGGGTGCTGAACCCCCCAGGTCCTGTGTGCAGGTGTGGGGTGCTGAACCCCCCCAAGGTCCTGTGTGCAGGTGGTGGGGTGCTGAACCCCCCCAGGTCCTGTGTGCAGGTGGTGGGGTGCTGAACCCCCCCAGGTCCCGTGTGCAGGTGGTGGGGTGCTGAAACCCCCCAAGGTCCTGTGTGCAGGTGGTGGGGTGCTGAACCCCACCAAGGTCCTGTGTGCAGGTGGTGGGGTGCTGAACCCCCCCAAGGTCCCGTGTGCAGGTGGTGGGGTGCTGAAACCCCCCAAGGTCCTGTGTGCAGGTGGTGGGGTGCCAATCCCCCCCAGGTCCCATGTGCTGGTGATGGTGGGGTTGGGCCTCCCCAAGGTCTCGTGTGCAGGTGGTGGGGTACTGAGGTTGTTGGAGCCCCAGAGTCTCACCCCACGACCTTATGGGGCTGTGGGGGCTTAGTCCAGCCGAGTCCCCAGGAGCTCTGGCTGGGGAGCAGGTCTGCAGGTGTCAGACCTGCTGGCCGTGACCACCTGCTCTGTTCTGTGGTCCCTGGCAGGTGCCTGGGAAGGGACAGCTATGTGGGAAGTGGGTCTGTAGTGGGGAATGTAGGAGTGTGGCTGCCCCAGCTCTGAGCATGGCGAGCATGGGGTCTGTCTTCTCCCATGCCTCCCCCAGTCCTCAGCATCCACAAGCTTCCAGCCAGCGGTGCCACGGACATCAGCTTCCCCATGAAGGGCTGGCGGGCCTCAGGCGACTGGGCCAAGGTCCCCGAGGACAGGGTCACTGTGTCCAAGAGTGTCTTCTCCACGGGGCTGGCAGGTGAGTACCCCGGGCCGAGCCCTGCCTGGGAGGTGCCTCCGGTGGTCCAGACAGGCAGGGTCACTGTCATTTCTGAGCGCCCCCTTGTCCAGGGAGCCCTCTCCACAGGCAGTAGCCCTGGCAAAGGGGCCAAATCAGGGCCACCAGAGGGAGGGACGTGGGGAGCCACCCTAGCTCCCCCACAGCCCTGCGTCCCTGGGAAGCAGCAAAGATGGGGTCCAGGCTGGAGGACAGCGGGCCAGAGGATGGGCTGACGCTGGGCTCCCTCCCAGAGGCTGACGACTCGTCTGTGTTCGTGGTTGGCACCGTGCTCTACCGGAACCTGGGCAGCTTCCTGGCCTTGCAGAGGTGGGCAGCGTGGGCAGCATGGGCAGGGCCCCGAGAGGCCGGCGGGGGGCCCGAGAGGCCGGCGGGAGACCGTGGGGGTGGAGGGCTGGGCTCGGCGGGAGCCCAGGGGTGCTGGGAGGAAGGCTGGGCATGCCCTGGGCCAGCACTGACCCTACAGCGCCTCTCTCATCCTGCCAGGAACACAACCGTCCTGAACTCCAAGGTCATCTCGGTGACTGTGAAACCCCCTCCTCGCTCCCTGCTCACCCCCTTGGAGATCGAGTTTGCCCACATGTACAACGTGAGTGGCTTCCGTGAGCATGCGTGTGTGTTGTCCCGCCGGGTCCTGCGTGAGCAGTGCCTGCACTCGCACTTCCAGGCCGTCAGCCCTCAGGCACCACGCCACAGTGAGGGGGGACTGTGGGCGGGGAGCCAGAGGCTCTGGGTGTGGTGCCTGAGGTCTCAGGCTCAGCCGATGTCAGAGCTGTCTGAGGTGCCCTGCCCCCATGCCTGCTATCCCCAGGGAGGGGAGCGCCAGTGTGCCCCTGCCTTCCGGCCACATCCAGGAGCTGCGGCCTGGGTCCACCTCCCTGAACGGCAGGGTGCGTGGTGGCCAGCCTCCAGCTGTGTGGGCTCTGGTTCAGTGCCCAGAGCAGCCCCCCGAAAGCTTCCCACAGAGGGTGTAGGAAACCCCAGGGACTGCTCCCTCGGAGCCTCAAAGGAGCAGGGCTGGTTCCCAAGGGGGAGGTTTCCTGGGTGGCCTAGTCTGAAGAGGCAGCGCCAGGCCTGCAGCCCGCTGTGTGACCTGGGCGCCTACTCAGCCTCTCGGAGCCATGGCTCCCCTGGAAGCTCGTGGGGTTGGTAAGGACGGAGTCCTCGCCGTAGCCGGCTAGACCTGTGACCAGCCTGCCTGGGGACGGAGCAGGCAGCAGCCGTGTGAGGCCGCCTGGGGGTGGGGAGTGAGGCACGCCCACTCTGGCCATGCAGCTCTGCTGTCCATGCTTGCATGGCCCCCGCACAGGCAGCCCTGACAGGCCCCTCTCTCCCAGGGTACCACCAACCAGACCTGCATCCTGTGGGATGAGACCGATACGTAAGTCCGCCCGGCTCTGAGGCTGAGGGCTTTGGGGTGGGGGACAGACCCAGGGGCCACGGGGCTGGTTTGGGGCTGGAGGGGGCGTCCCCTGTCCATTACATTGTCCTGGGCCCACCTCCCACCTGACTCCAAGACACATAGGGGAGGAACTAGGAGGTGCAGCTCTGTCCCCATGGGGCCATCGTGGCCTGGTCCCCTATCCTGGCCAGAGCAGGCCAGGAGCTGTGGTTCAGGGCACTCACACGGGGCTGGACTTCAGGGCCCTTGGGGACTTGGCATGGCCATGTGGCCAGCTGCTGTGTGCCCAGGTCCTTATCAAACCCTGTTCTGGCGCCAGCCACTCCCTGGCGCCATGGCACCATGACAGCCAAGGAGACTCTTGTCCCAGCCCCAAGTGGCCACCTGGGGAGGGAGGAGGCCGTGCGAGGCTGACAGCATTGTGACCTGGGGAAAGTTGAGTGGCTGTGTCTCGGCAGGCCGGGGGTCTGTGTGGTGGGGCGTGTGGCTAGGACTGAGCTCCCCAGCTGCATCCTTCTGCATCCCTTGGCCCTGCGTCCTGTCCTTGCCTTTCTTGGGCTAGTCAGTGCGGCATGGTCAGCTTGGCCACCCCTCACACCCTGAGCAGCGCTGGCTGTGTCCTGTGAGCTCAGGAATGGCAGCAGTACAGCTGAGAGGGGCACAGATCGTCACAGTGCTGGGGGAGGCCAGGGCACAGGGCTGTGTCCCGGTGTCCACTGTGAGGCTGGGGGATCCAAGCTGTCCCCCGCCATCTGCCCATCCCCGAGGACCTGGCTGCTGATGGATAGCACTGTGTTCCCGGAGGCCCAACACCTCAAGGTGCGTCTGGGGCAGGGGCTGGCTGTGGCAGAGGTTGTGCCCAGGATGGCTCCTGGGACAGCAGGGCCAAAGCCAAGCAGGAAGCACCTGACCCGCCCCCCACCCGGCTGCCTTGTCCCACCTCTGGCCAGGGGACTCACTGTCCCCGCCCCCGAGGATCTCCTGCCCTGAGGTCAGGATTGGCTGCTGCTTGGGGGTGGCGGGGTGAGGGCTGGCCTGGGGTACGGCCCCCAAGGTACGGCTCAGCACCAGGGAGCTTGTGGGACCAGGCCCTGCCCCCCCCCGGGCAGCACAGCCCTGCACCCCCACGTTCCTGCCTTGGGCCCAGCCAAGGCCGGGAAGCGGGGTGTTGCTAGAAGGCTGTGTGTGGCTCTGCAGCCTGGGAGTCAGCAGAGGCTGTAGTGAGGGAGCTGGAGGTGAGGCAGGAAGGTGGGTAAGGGGGCGGAGTCACTGGGGAAGGAGGGTGTGGGCAAGAGGAGGCCTGGGCGCATAGAGGGGTGAGGTGGGCAGCTGTGTCCTGGGCCTAATGCTGCTGCCAGCTGGGCAGCCTGGGCAGCAGTGCAGATGCTGCTGAGGCAGTCACTGGCCACACAGAGGTGGACAGCAGGTGGACAGATGGACGGGTAGTGGGCGCAGGGATGGGTGAGAAGGGGGAGGACCCTGTGTCTCCGGAGCAGTGGTGCCCATGGTCCTGAAGGGACAGCTCCCGGGCCCTCTCCGGGAGAAGCTGCAGCACCCACAGGCCAGCACAGGCCAGGTGCTTGGAGGCCAGCTGCCTGGCTGCCACCCAGAGTGGTTCTACCAAGGCCCAGTGTTGGGACAAGGTACAGGCTCAAGGAGGGGTGGGCACCTCATGCTCTCAGAGCCCCCAGGCAGCTGACATGCAGCCAGCCAGGCACATCCCTGAGTGCTGGGCTCTCCTGGTGTGGGCCTTCTGCCACTGGGACCTGCTGGCCCAGCTCCCACTCCTCCACCCTCAGCTCTCTGCTGGAGCCAGGTCATGGCCAGGCAGGGTCAGATGCTCAGTGTGTGGTGCGTGAACCCATTTCACAGCCTGGGAGGCTGAGGCTCAGGGCACCCACTGAGACAAGTGCCAGGTCCCCGTCAGGGCTGCACTCTCTGTGTGGATCCCAGCTACGGCTCCACCAGGCATGGGGCCATGGCTCTACACGTCTGGGTCTCCCTGCGGTCCCTTCTCCTGGTTTTCTCAGAGAGGGCAGCGAGGAGCCAGGCTGAGGGGGAGGGGACGCTGAGCGGAAGAGAGACTTGGCAGAGACCCCAGGTCTCTGTCAGCAGCATGTTCTCAGCCCCGTTTCTCCCACAGCGGCCAGTTCCTGACTGGGCAGGGGGCCGGGCGTGGGCAGGACCAGTACAGACCTCCCGTCTGATGGCCTGGGGATCACAGCAGAGGAAGGGGTGCTGGGAGGCCTCGGCCCCAGGCGGTGCCCCCCCTTTCTAACCGCTCCCCTGCAAGGGCCTCTGTTAGGCCCACGCTGCAGGTTCTGAGAGGGCTGGGCTGACCCCACAACTGCCTGCTGCTGCTCCTTGCTCCCACAAGGGCCCTTCTGCCCATGCCACAGGCCTCCTCCTGCCACTCGCAGTGCCTGACCTTGAGTTCCCAACATGCTTGGTGTCTGTCCTCCTGGAGCAGCCACATTTGCAGCAGAGTGCAGACCTTTGACAGCTGGCCCAGGGTGGAACGTGAGACCCTCGGGGTGCTGAGGCTGCCGATCTCAGAGATGTCACATCCCGCTGGGGACAGGCCCTGCACACAGGTGGTGGGGGTCCTGCGATGCCCAGGCCCGGCCACCCCTCTCCCAGGGAGGGAAGGTCAGGCAGCCTGCCCAGCAGGGGACTGCAAGCTCCTGGCCAGAGGGTCCGTGAGCGTCCATAGCCTGACATGCCCTTGCCAGCAGCTCAGAGTCCCTGGCTCTGCCCATGCTGACTGGGCAGCGCTGGGCCTCAGCGTCCTCAGCTGCAGCCCAGCACGTCAAGGTCCCTGTAGGGGGAGAGGATCTCCACCCTCCCCTGTCCTGCCCAGGGAGAGGCCCCAGCCCTGCCAGGAGCGAGGCCCCCATGAGGCTGGACAGCCAAGGGGCCCTGCCTCCCCCAACATCGCAGACTCCCTGTCCACACTGCCTCAGCATCTCGCAGATGTCCCCATCCACCTAAAGCCTGTGCCAGGAGAGGCAGCCGTAGGCACATACACCTGGGACATGGGCCTCACTTCCTGATCCTGTCCTTTCCAATACGGTGGGCGTGGGTCCCAGCTGCCTCCTAGGACCCTGTCCCCCACATCTCACGCCAGGCTGCTGTGCTGAGTGGCCAGGATGGGGAGGGTGCCGACAGGTGGATTCTGGAGTCAGCAGCAGGCACCCTCTTGGGACCAACCAGGGACTGAGAATGTCCCAGTGAGAGGTGAGGTCAGTGACCAGGTCAGGATCTGAATCCTGGCACCAGAGGCAGCCAGGCAGAGATGGGGCCATGGGAGGACAGAGTGAGCTGAGCTCTGTTGCCTGGAACTGGTCCACTGGCAGTCCTGACAGGTGCACATGGCCCAGGCCTCAGGCTAGACTCCTCGGTTGGCCTCACAGCCCTGTCTGCAGGGTCCTGGGTCCCAGCTGCAGCTGGGTAGCATCCAGGGGTGGAGTGACGGGCTCCTCATATCCATGTGGCCCTTGGCAACCTTGAGAGGCAAGGCAAAGGCAGGGGAGGCTTCAGGGTCTGAGCTGGGGGATGCAAATGGAAATGTGGGCCCATTGCCCACTGCTCTGCAGTTGGTAGCCCTCTGACTGCTAAACGTGCAGCCTGGAAGTTGTCATTCAAACTCTGACTTCCCGGGAGGCTTGGCAGCTGCAGCCATGCCATGGCCCAGGGAGTTCTTGTCTATGCATGGGCAGCTAGGCGTGGGAGGGCAAGATGTTACTGGACTCAAGCAGGACACCACTTCAGCAAGGAGTGCGGCTGTCACCTGCTTGAACCTGGCACTATGCTTGGGGGACAGGTCAGTACATCAGACTGCGGTATATGGGCCCGCCTAGGATCAGGCTGCCAGTGTGTGTGGGAGAGGCAGTACTTAGGCCTCCTGCAGGAGTGTGCCCTACATGTGGCACCAGGACTACACTTGTTGCTGAGGCTCTGGGGCTGTTGGTGAGCATGGTGGTTGGTGGTGGTAGAGACAGCAATGAAGGCTGTGGTAATGGTTGTTGGTAAGAATGGTACCTATGATGATTAATAATGCTGATGGAGACAGTAGTGCCATGGGGCAAAGTGCAATTGTATTAGAGTTTACGCTGATGTGTGGCATAGAGCAAAAAGTGTAGATTACTATGCTAATAATGCAGGATGGTGTGACCACCTTAGTGAGGCAGGGCGGTGTGATCACTTAGTGAGGCAGGGCGGTGTGATCACTTAGTGAGGCAGGGCGGTGTGATCACTTAGTGAGGCAGGGTGCTGTGATCACTTAGTGAGGCAGGGCAGTGTGATCACTTAGTGAGGCAGGGCGGTGTGATCACTTAGTGAGGCAGGGCGGTGTGATCACTTAGTGAGGCAGGGCGGTGTGATCACTTAGTGAGGCAGGGCGGTGTGATCACTTAGGAAGGGTGGTGTGATCGGTGTGATCACCTTAGTGAGGCAGGGCGGTGTGATCACTTAGGCAGGGTGGTGTGATCGGTGTGATCACCTTAGTGAGGCAGGGCAGTGTGATCACTTAGTGAGGCAGGGCGTGGTGTGATCACCTTGGTGACGCAGGGCAGTGTGATCACTTAGTGAGTCAGGGCGGTGTGATCACTTAGTGAGGCAGGGTGCTGTGATCACTTAGTGAGGCAGGGCAGTGTGATCACTTAGTGAGGCAGGGTGGTGTGATCACTTAGTGAGGCAGGGTGGTGTGATCGGTGTGATCACTTAGTGAGTCAGGGCAGTGTGATCACTTAGTGAGTCAGGGCAGTGTGATCACTTAGTGAGGTAGGGCGGTGTGATCGGTGTGATCACTTAGTGAGTCAGGGTGGTGTGATCACTTAGTGAGGCAGGGTGGTGTGATCTGTGTGATCACCTTAGTGAGGCAGGGCAGTGTGATCACTTAGTGAGGCAGGGCGGTGTGATCACTTAGTGAGTCAGGACCGTGTGATCACTTAGTGAGGCAGGGTGCTGTGATCACTTAG